ATATATATATATCAACATATTAATCACCTCTGTTTCAATTCCAACAGTCTATCAATGCAGATAACTCTATTTTTGTTATGTCAGGCTCCTTATAACAGGCTGTGAAATATTTTTTGTGAACAAAGACATTTACAGAAGCTTGTTGTTTCTTATTAATAACAAATAGAATGCTTATTCATGCATTCTTAGGAATCTTTTTCCTCTCATAGGACCCATGTGTTGTTTTCACTCCTTTTTTACTCAAACCAGAAGTGAAATATTTGTTGTGATGAGAATTGATTTTTTGTCATGTATTCTATTTACTCAATGATTTCATACTGTATTGAACAATATGTAACATTGTTAATAAATCCCTTCCAGATGCATACTGTAATAGCTTGTCTTTATACCTTGTATGTTTATTTGTTTGTTTACGATAAACTGAAGTTTAAAATTGCATTCATAATATCATAATTTGGACTTAATGCTGTTCTAAACAAAACTGTACAGACTACAGAGCAAGTAAAAATCTATGCTGTAGGCTATGCAGGATATATGCAATAAATATGAATAAATGAAATAAAATACAGATGAAAGGCGTTTGTAAATGCTTATTGATATTTTATGTCAGTGGATTTTGTTGTTAAAGAATTAGCTCTACCAGTACGCTCTAAAAACGCTCAAAAACAGAAGTGAACAAATCGTTCAGTCCAATTGCAGAGCTGCTCGCGATGCTTTTTAGGAAACGCAGCCCCAAACCTGTTGCGCAACGGTTCAACCAATTAATTGAAATGATACAAAAATGACAACAAAATAAATAAGAATAAAACAAACAAACAGATGAAAAAAAAACAGCTAAAACCAGCCTTGGCTGGTCTTAGCTGGTTTTAGCTGGTCTCCCAACCTGGCCAGCTAAGACCAGCCTGACCAGCTAAGGAAGTGGCCAAAACCCCTCTAAAACCAGCCTGCTGACCAGCCTAGACCAGGCTGGATGACCAGCTAAAACCAGCCAACCAGCTTAGACTGGTTTTAGCTGTTTTTTTTTTCAGCAGGGAAATGGACCAATCTAGTACAAAAAGTGTTGTGTTCTCATAGCTTTCTTTGAATATTTTACTGAGGTCATATATTCAAGTAATTTTACATTTCTTTTAAGTTTGAAACTTTGCATTTGTGAATGTACAATTATCTTAGGAATATAATTAAATGTGTAATAAAACATACATTTCTTATGTGGGAGCTAAAGGGTTAATACATAATCCATGACGTCAGACTACAGAAGACGTCGCTGTGGTAGTGTGGGACCTCTTCTGCCGGTATAATTTCACATTGCAAAGGTTTGGATGTAATTTATACTATGTATTTTTATTTTGTGGATTTATATGTGTATACATTAAAGCGAAGGACACGAACTGTGCTTCAGCTGGGAGTGTAATGGGCAGTGTATTGGTTTGTTTACCTCATCAGCTGTGTGGCAGCTAAACTGAGTAACGTTAGCAGCTGTTTAACGATAAGATATGAAACTATTTTGCGCTTTATTCTGCGTACTTTGACTTAGGCCATCTACAAAATTACGTAATACTGTCATATTACATAAGATATACAACCACAGTGCACTGTAACAGTTACAATGCGCATGCTATTTAGTCAAATATGTAGCGCCCAGCATTGCAGCACCAATGAAGACACTCCACATTATGAATGAAAGCCTCTTTGCCAACTCCGGGTCTGTGTTTTTACATTTTCCATCAGGCCTTGCCCTCATCCCGAAGTGTGTTCACAAGAGTCGCAGCCCTGCATTTCAAAACAGAAGACGAGTATTTCGCCATGAACTCTGACATGGATGGTGAGACACTGGGTGGAATCAGCATGTGGATTCATCTACAGCACACAGCACATCTACAGATTGATCTTTTTGAAACTGACAGTTGATAAGTACAGATTGATTCAAAAATACACTATTTAACATAATAAATAACATATGGGGGGATTTTTGTTCCTTTTCCTTCCAAAAGCAAGTTTTAGATGCATAATATTTTGGAATGTACAGCATTACATTGTAAAGAATGTCTCCATGAATTTATATTTAACAAATATCAATAACACAACATATACAAACAATTTATATACACACTGTACATATTCATACACAGACAAACAATCTACAAATATGCATACAGGTACATACATACTATAAATACGACACACAATATTTACATAGTGCATATATAAATTCAATAGATAAAATTGTGGATAAAATCGATAAATTGTGAAATTACTAACAAATAATAATATTTAAATGCATATAAATTCAAATCTTTATTATCCTTGATTTTAGGAATATATACCTTTCCAACTAAAATGACATTTTAATAAAGATTTTGTGTATGATCACCCTCAAATTATTTTATTTGAATTCCATGGTAATTAAATGCCTAGTATAGCTAACCATTTTGCTATGTTCAATCAACAGGCAACAACGAAAAGGCAATACCAAAATAAATGCATAATGTCTTCTTATCTGAACATAAGCATTTTCCAACATTATATTTCTTTCTTTCTTTCTTATTAATAATAAGCGTTAAAGGTGCCATAGAATGCAAAAAATCACTTTTATAAGGTGATTGAACACTTTTTCAGTGACTCCGAGATTGCAAAGTGTGTAACTCTTAAGTTCATCTTCCAGGTGACATAGAAAATCAGGTGGAGTTGGAGGAGAAGACCAGACTTATAAACCAGGTCCTTGAGTTGCAGAATACTCTTGAGGGTAAGTAACCCGCACTGCATGTTTTGTCACATAACGTTAACTAATGCTGGGTTCTTTAACCTTTTATTATATTATAAAACGAGCATTAATTTCTGTCTCTTTCTTGTTTTGATAGATCTCTCAGCTCGGGTGGATGCAGTAAAAGAAGAAAATCTGAAGTTAAAATCAGAGAATCAGGTTCTTGGGCAGTACATTGAAAACCTCATGTCGGCATCTAGCGTATTTCAGACCACTGACTCCAAGAGCAAACGGAAGTAAGAGGGCATCCTCTCTCCCAGAATCCCTTGTGTAGACGGCAACCCCACGCAGATAAACCCTTGCCATATCAGCTCATTTAAACTTTCCACTAGGATTCATTTGATCCTTATGCCACTAAAATTATAAATGTTTACATTTATTTTATTTATCAGTATTGTTCTTTAACGTTTCATCTTCAACAACTTTATTAAACATGTTACATACTAAATCATTTTATAAATATATTTACTTGTTAAACTAAGACTTTATATGTTGTTTTGCAGTTTTTTATGTTCAGACAGGGTATGATATTAATATTATTTGTAATATTTTAAATTGTTTTGTCTCACTAAACAAATTGATAATTGATTAAAAATTTCATATGTATTTTGTATTTAATTTTATATTTTTGCTTTCTAGATGAGGGTACGGCTGTGATGCCATGACAGTTGCTCTCTCCCGCTGAGCTGTTTGTCTGTATCAGCACTGATTATACTCATGTTGAGAGAAAACATTTCAGGCCATTCTGATCAGGGAGTGAAATTTAGACCCTTTCCTTGGTGCTATCAACAGAAGGGAGTTCTCTGGCATGCGTCACATCTGTGCCTCTGAATATCTCAGCGTATTAGTTGTGTTTGAATGTGTAGAATCTTACCATTGTGTGGTATTACAAATGCCAGTTTTAATTAAAATAAATATAATTTGCTGTGCTGCGAGTCAGTCTTTAGGCCCCTGTGGTGGTTTGCTTCTCGTTCAGTCACCTCACTTCATCTGGGATTCAAGTCTACACATATTCCACCTGAGTTTGGAGGATTGCTCCACCTGCTCTCGTCAGAGGAGTGAGGAACTGAGTAGAGTAGCATTGTCTTTTTCTCCTCCACTCTTGCTTTAAATTGTGAATCTGAATGTGTGTCTGTCTCTTTCACAGGGTTACCAAAGGTGTTCGGAAGGACAAATCAACTAGTGTTTAAACATGCAGTACGAGTAAGCGAACCCAGAATTAAAGCTGAAATGTGTAGGCCTACTTTTTTGTTAAACATTTCCTATTCTGGCTTGATTAATTGGCAGGTTGATGTTTTTAGTAAGTGTGAACATTAGTGTAATCAAGTCTTATACAGTAGCACTGGGCAGGATTATCTGTTTGTCTGACCAATGAAAGATGAGAAGAGTTCTTTTTTTATTTATTAAAATTAATTTTGCAATTCCACTTGATGATGCTAGGGATGAAGAAATAAAAATAGAATATGATATGAGCAGAAAAGATCAGAATAATGATGCCATGACAAGTTGTATGTTGGTATTACTGCCATTTATTGATTTACTGACAAAGTCAAATATTTTCAGTAATTCAGTATAATATGAAACATTGTCAAATCCCATATGTGTGGTCCTTTTTTGCAACACAAAAAATAAAATAAATAAAATAATTTAGAAAAAATGAATAAATCAAAACATTCATGGGCCACAATAAACAACAGTGTAAAAACTTTTTCCGCTCTCACATTGATGAGGAAACATCCTGTAATTCAGTATTAGGTTGCACCTCAAGATGGCACACAGCAATGACAGTCCTTCAAGCATAGGGACGTTCCTTTTCAGACCAGCAGCATGCGCTGTTGTCCACAGCAGGAGGTATTACATGTTACCATGTGGATCAAATTTCTCCTCTCTCCTCAGCTCATCAAACTTTAATAAAGATCTGTCAGAGAAAGAGACGTGACTTTTAAGCAAACCTTAGATACGGTGTCACAGCTGCAAACAAGGCTATTGAAAACTATCAGTGGGTTACAGGATTCACAACAAGGCTGTTCCTCAAAAAGGCCATTTAATTTAGTTACACAGAAATATCAATAAAATGGTGACTGATAGTGACTACAATGGAAAACATACCCTGCGTCCCAATGTGGATACTATCCACCCTATCTGCCCTAAATAGTACTGAAAATGACTAATATCACATAGAATTTAGGATGGATAGTGATATAGTGATAGTGAGGGTAACTTAATGGCATCTACTGAAATACTGTGAATGAATTTCCAAGAATTTTGCTAAACATATTCAAATTAGACATATCTGATGACAGATACACTTGGCCCTTTCATTGTTAAGCATTGCTGGGTTGATCTCCTAAATAAAAAAAGTGGACAACTTAAATTTTCTGTTGTAGGGAAAATCTTGAATTCTAAAATACACTTTTTTTTTTTTTGCACAGTAAATTACACATTTACAATTTTTAAGTAAATAGATGTACCTGCACTGTTAGTATTTATGAATTTAATAATAAAAACAGTTAAATGAACAGATTTAAAGGGGTCATATGATGCGATTTCATTTTTTCCTTTCTCTTTAGAGTGTTACAAGCTCTTGGTGCATAAAGAAGATCTGTAAAGTTGCAAAGACTAAAGTCTCAAATCCAAAGAGATATTCTTTATAAAAGTTAAGAGTTAGCCACACCTACCTAAAACGGCTCGTTCGAACACGCCCCCACATACCTACCTCACTATGTGGGAAGATTTGCATAAAGCCGCCCAAATGTTCACGCAAAGAAAGAAAGCATAACTTTTATTCTCGCTGTAGTATTGTTGACACTGCAGCCATGTCGTGAAGACGCTGTGTGCTTCGTTGTGAAAGCGAAACCACTTTGTTTGGTCTTCCAAAAGAGGACGATATCCGCTTCGCCATGCCTAGAGCTGATCTGTGCTGGTCGCTGAGGAAATACATCAACTTAGTGCTGTGGATCACCGGATATGCTTTCACCGTTTTCACCGCTCCTTCGCCAGGACCGCCGTTCTCGACCCCGCCGCCTCAGCTCACTCTTGCCCGGCCTCAGCTCACGGTAAGCCGGGGCTTTCGCTCACGCTAGGCCGCTGTGTGCTTCGTTGTGAAAGCGAAACTACTTTGTTTGATCTTCCAAAAGAGGACGATATCCGCTTCGTCATGCCTAGAGCTGATCTGTGCTGGTCGCTGAGGGAATACATCAACTTAGTGCTGTGGATCGCCAGCACATTTTATGGAGGACTGTTTACTGATCCTGGAAGAGTAACGTTAGACTAAAATGCCGGCAGTTCTGACTCACGTAAGTACGTTTTCATTTAAAGGATTTGCCACTGATGATTCAAACGCGAGTTTTGGGCAGTGTGGAGTAGCACTTGTTGTTTGTCATTTCTCTGATCACAAATGCAGACAGGGTTTTATGTTTACGCAGCTCGATGCAATGCAACGCGTAAAAAGACAGTATAAGTCATTATAATCAGTAATTATGTCCCCACTGGATGCAACAAATGCCTCGTTTGTAATGGGTTTTAATGTTTATGTCTCGTCGCTCCGGCCGGACACGGCATCAACACAGTATGGTGAGGGGCGTAACATTTCCGTCTCACGCTTGAGGTATTCGGCCAATCACAACGCACTGGATAGCTGGCCAATCAGAGCACACCTCGCTTTTTCAGACCGATGAGCTTTGTAAAAATCAACGCGTTTCAAAAAGGCGGGGCATAGAGGAGAAACAATAATGTACAGTATGTGGAAAATAATGTGTTTTTTTAACTTTAAACCGCATAAACACATTTCATTACACCAAATACACAAAATAATGTTCTTTTTAGAAGCATCATATGACCCCTTTAAACAGGACGGCTTACCTTTTTCGGATCCATGTTGAATTTCTTCCTGCCCATGGCCACATGCCGACAAAATGCTAATTTAGAATATACAATTTGGACTAACTCTTGAAGACCTAATTCAAGTTGCTGTGCTTATATAAAGGCAAGAAATGAACGAAATATGTTGAAACTGAAAAGTGACTTATCAAAATCAAGCACTGAATGGTCAATAAAATAAAATATTAAAGTTTTCTGAATAAAAAAATATCAATAAGAAAGAATAACAACAATTGTGGGCCATTTCTGCCAAAGTGTTATTGATAATGACAATCTACCCAAACATATACTGCAATAAAATCCATGATTTATAACAATATGAAAATGTAAGATAATATGTTTCACATGAAGAAAAATACTTTAAATGATTAGCTGGCGAATGCTAAACTAGCTTAGCATTGTTTTAATAAAAGACCCAATAAACCACCCTAACAAGCCCTACGAGTGCTTTACTGGTTTTGTTTGTCATACAGAGGCCTTATGACCTCTTCCTTACTTCCATTTGATTTACTGTAAGACTGAAACACTTCACATGTGCTAATAAACCACTTTTCCTTTCTGTATTTCCCTGGAGAAATGTCAACAAAACTGGGTTGGGTCTGATTTTTTTTTTATATCTTCATTGCATTTCTGTGAGTTACAGCTTACTCATGTCAGCATAGCTTTCTCTGAATTAGTGACTGTTAGCTCAAGCCCTTCCCAATTAGGTGAGGCCTGTTTCTAAGGGTTATTTATAGATGATATTAATGTGGTTCACCTCACTGAGAAGGACCCAGACATCAGAATCAGAGTGAACAAGGAGTCGCATGGCCACTATTTCTCCTAATGCTCCATCCACTTCTCCCTCAGCCATTCCATTCTTGAAAGACCCTAAGAAAACAGACATCTGTGACATCACAAATTAAACAGAAACCACCTGACCTCTTTCAATCGACAAGATTGCATGATAGGTGCTTTAAACCACGTTTTGATGCTGGTTTTCACACTCACACACATCCTGGTCTCAAGACAATGGCCAAGCATGCTCACATTTTTACATAACCACATTTGAGCTCATGTTTCTTACTGCGGTTTGTCCAAAGGGATGAAAAAAAGCGAGTGTGTGTATTACAGGTAAGCTGTCTGATGTGTCTGCTGATGTGTCTGATAAGCTTGTTTGATCATTAACATCCATAAAATACAATGTCATGGCTGATGCGCCATTAAATTAGATCCAGAAATCAGTAATGCTTGTTTATTATAGAGTTATTTAAAAAAACATTTTAGTGGTTGATTCTAAAACCAGCTAGATTTCCTGATTCTTAATAATTGTAATAAAGTTTAGATTTCTGTTTCTTCCAGTAACAAGTCCTATACAGTCTCTTATGCTCACCAAAACTGCATTTATTTGATTAAAAATCACAATAAAAGCAGTAATATTGTGAAATAGCATTACAATTATTATATTTTAATATATTTTAAAACAATTTATTTCTGTGATGGAAAAGCTGAATTTTCAGCAGCCATTACTCCAGTCCTCAGTGTCAAATGATCGTTTGGAAGTCATTTTAAAATACTGATTTGGTGTTTAGGAATCATTTCTTATTATTATCAATGTTGAAAACAGTACTACTACTTAATATTTTTGTTGAAACTGTGATTTTTTTTTTTTTGATGAATAGAAAGTAAAAAAAATAACTAAATTTATTTGGAATACATTTGTATTCCTTTTGTAACTGCCACTTTTGATCAATTTAATGCATCCCTGCTGAATAAAAGAATAATATCTTTCAAAAAAACCTTTGAATGGTAGTGTACAAATTCAAACAAATGTAAACATGACAAAAGTAATGACTTGAGTTTCAGGGAGTGAGAACCACACTAATTAAGCAAATGAGAGAAACGTTAGAACAATTTCACCTGAGTCACAAGTCTTACTGACCAGTTCAAATGAAAGCACATGTCACAATGAAAAAAAAAAAAAAACTTTCTTTTGCCAGGTGCAATAGATTCAGTACTGGTTCAAGAAGCATGCTGTCATAGATTCACTACACTCAGTGCTCCACACTAGTGGAAAAATGCAGCCATTCAAGAACTGTTAATGAAACCGACATCACGAAAACCATTCAGCTCTTTAATGGAAAAAACCAAACCAGTTCTGAACCGGTTTTTGATACCCAAACCTAAAACTTGTGTTAACAGACATGTGTTCACAAGCCACGCTGGCCAACTCATTTTAGAGCTTCCTGTAATTATCATGATTATCGACACAGCTAGTTTTACAACAACTCATTTCTAACTATCATCACATCTTAGTTCACTGACAAACAAATGATTGCACTTCATCTATATGTATTTATGCAAAATCTTACAAATGAGTGACAGAAAAGGAAAGACAAGAAACAGGAAATCAATGATGGTTGAGTACCTATCTGAACAAAGCCATCGGATGAGGTTTTACAGCAGGCTAATTCTCCTCTAGTGACCTTCTCTTTCACAGAGTTCTGTAAAACACAGACATGTACCTGTCAACACTTTATACTTCAATGGAAATGAAAAAAATGGACATATCAGGAAGTATGTACAAAAACCCTCATCTAACAGGTTTGAGGTAAAGTTTGAACTTAAACACGATCTCAAACGCTGCAAAGAACACAAATGTGGTTTTGGGTGTCAGTTTTCTGTTGTCTTAGAAATGTTTACACGGCTAGCATGCACAGGGGCAAGGACCCATCACGACAAGCAAACGAATACAAATGTACACTTAGAAAAAGGGTGTAGTCACATACGTTCTAAGATACAATGCAATGTCTAAAGCTATGACAATACCAACATATTGACACAAACTGAATCCGCCCATTTTTTGTGCAGCTTTGGTTCTGGAAGTATTTAAGGGATTTCAAGTATTTAAGACATTAAAGTGCTTAAGGGTTTAAAAAAAAAAAAAACTATTATACAAACAGTCATGAAGCAAACCAACCAATTCTGGGATGAACAACAATAAAAAAGTGAACTTAAAGATTGTGTGCTTATCATCTTTTATAAAGGAATGAATTACAGTCCCATAAATCATAAAAAATGCTGTAATCAGATAAAAGATATCAACACAATATAAAACTATCAGGGAGTGTACTAAGTAGGGAGACTCAATTAGGTCATTTACAATGTTTCATAGGAGAGCGTGGTCACCACTGAGCTCTTTCTCCCTGATTTGTTGTGATTCTCTGACTGGTGGGTTGTTCTCTTTAGGTTTCATGGGTAGTGTAGACCTTCACCTAGAATTTGGCTGTTAATAATTATTAATTTTTTTAGTGATTCTTTAACAGAACCTCATGGTCTGTCTTCAAAGGTTTGCACTACCCTTCAAATGTTCAAACGTCAAAAGTCAGTAAGATGTTTTTAATACTTTTGTTCAACAAGGATCCAATAAATTGATCAAAAGTGATAGTACAGACATTTTCAAAGTTACAAAAGATTTCTATGTCAAATAAATGTTGTTTTGAGCTTTCTTTTTTATCAAAGAATCCAAAAAGTATAGTATCTCGGTTTCAGTACAGCTGTTCGCTGTTTTGAACACTGATAATTATATGTTATGAAATAATGAAAATTCGGCTTTGCCATCACAAAAATAAATTACATTTTAAAATACATTAAATTAGAAAACAGGTTTTTTAAATGTAATACGTATTTCAACACTATTACTGTTTTTACTGTATTTTTGATCAAATAAATGCAGCTTTGGTAAGCAAACTTCATTCAAAAACAATAAAAAAATCATTCTGTTCTCCCAAACTTTTGAATGGTAGTGTATATAGACCTTTTTTTTACTGATGCTCTTTATTTGCTGAAAGCAGATATGTCACTTTTTGAGCCCTATGATTTTTTTTTAATCACTTTTGGCATGACACTTACATTATTAGGGAGCACCTCCACTGTTGTGTTGTAAAACCTGTCACCATTTGTCTCAATATTGCCAGATCGAAAAAAGTACCTAGAAGTGAGTGGAACAAAAATATAAAAACATTAAATCAGTCAATGGAAGATTCACTGTATGTCTATTTGTGTCAACACATTGTTTTTGCTATCTGAGTTGAAATGTTTCTAATGCCACAGATGCAGTTGATAGTTACAAACTACAAAATGAATAGGTGGTTTTGTAAGTTATGTATGTAGCTTAAACAATCCCTTGTTTCTGTAGCATCAGTGGAATTTGTTTAACAAGTCAAAGAGTCGGTCTGCTGCATTTCAAAAAACAACCAGGAATTTCTCTGGGCTCATTACATCACTCTTTGTCAAGTGACAGATGCACCCATTACCCATGATTTCATGAAGACGGTAAGTTCAGATGTGAAGTTAAGTGAGAAAGTTCAGATTTCTTTACAACACCTTCCTCAAATGTCAACTAACCACATTTAGATCTTAACTTAGTTTTTGGGAAGCTGTAAAATGGAATCAAATTAACTCCTATGTGTGTGCTTAAAGGCAATTTAGAAGGATTGCGGTCACCATGTGTTCAGCTCCTAAACAAACATATAAGTATAAGTATAAAATATCCTGCTCAGAGGAACTGAAACAGAAGCCATTGGTTCACATTCTTTCAGCAGGGCAAACTCACAAGGAGACAGCTGGGTACATTTACACTGCCATTGGGTTTTTACTTCTATTTATATATCCACGTAAAGAGATATTTACAATGCATACTATAAGTAAACTCCCCTAAACATATCAAGCCATATCGAGTTTACTTTCACAGATAAAGGGATAGGTTACCCAAAAATATGCCTGTGTGGCTTTCTGCAGAACACAAAAGAAGATTTTAAACGACACTGGACTTCACTGAATAAAAATGGTAACACTTTTCAAAATATCCTATTTTTGAGTTCTGCAAAAGAAATAAAGTCACACAGTTTTGTAATGACATGAGGGTAAATGATGACTGAATTTTCATTTTCTGTTGATACACAAACTGGATATACATGCTGGAACTTTAACAAGATTGCCTGTTACACTTTGTATACTCATCAAATTAATGTTCTGTACTGGTGTCTCACCCTTTGACAGCTTGAGGTGTGGTAAAAGTAATGAGAATGTAATCTCTTCTTTTAGGTGTGAGGCCCCAGAAGAAGTCGTCTCCGTTGTAAGCTCTCTCCAGAGTGTGAGACAGATATTTCTCTATACTGCTGCTGAGTTCTGCTGGCGGGTTATAGTGGCCTTTGAACAGCACTTGATTTCCAAAGTCTTTATCCTGTAATCACATAAAGATATACACAGATATACACATAAGTGCTGTTCCAAAACCTAGTGAGCTGACTTGCTGTATATTGTCTACACAGATTTATAACTGAAATAGAACCTAATAAGTGAGTGATTTGGAACGCTCTACATAGGTATCATGTGAAGTACACAAAAAAACTATTTGGGAGTCCTGTCACTTCGGTTGGTCTGGCTGTTGATTTAGTGACAGGATCCTGTGTTGTATTGTCCTTTCTTGTCCTTGTGTGAGTGTAAGAGTTCAGGGATTGTTCTCTGGGCACTGCATTCTTTTGTATATGTATTTGTTTTCCGTACATTTCTGCCATATGTACATTAACTGACAGGCACCACTGATAAGATACCACTAAATATTGTAGAAACTTAATTTGCTGTAAAGTTGCTTTGCAACGATTTGTATCGTGAATTGAATTGAATGTATTGTGTTTGGGGCTTGGTGTCTGGATCCTGATAATCCTGTCTACTTTGATTTCAGTCCTGGGATCCTGACATTCAGGCTCCGGGCACTTTCGTCTGTCTTGAGTCTTGTTTTCTGTAGAGTACACGCTTATGTTTATATTCATTTGCTGTGTGCTCTTCTGTCTTGAGACTGGGTTTGGTGGTTTTTATGTTGATTTTTAATTTTTTGTTAATAAAGACCTTTTGAATACAGTTTAGATGTTCTGCATTTTGGTTCCTGACAAAAACTAGCTAGCTTTTAATTTTTTTTTTTCTGGACACATTGGGAACTTTGTTTTGCAGCACTTTTAATGGGACTGTTTCTTTAAAGGTGAAGTGTGTAATTATCTTGGACATTAAAATCCTTCCTAATTGCCCTGTTTATTTTTCAGAGGGAACTACATGTTACACTACACTGGTTGGATGACTTCCCAAAATAGATAACAAATGTACATGCAAAAAAAAAAAAAAAACACCAGAAATGAGACACTTCAGCTTTAAGATGAATCACATGAGTTGTGTTATTACGAATTTGTAAGTCATTATGGAAATAGAATGTGCTAATATAAATAATGTAAATGTCCTGTTTGCAATGCAGATAAGCTGTTGTCTACCCCTACAGACCCATAGTACTGTTGGAGAGTTTAGGTGGCCACTATTCTACTAGAAATTCATCTTGCATTATACTATTATAGTTTTATTCATATTTTGAATAGGTTTTCATTTTTTTATTCCCCATTTTCATTTTAAATTTAGTTAAAGTATTATTAAGTTTGTTGTGTTTTTTTTCATTTTTATTAGCTTATTTTTTATATTTAGTTTTTATAAACGTTTTATAATTGTAGGTTTTTTTTATTCATTGAACTAAACGTTAAACTAAATGAAAATGAGAAATTTTGCCTTGGCAACTAGCTGAAATAAAACAAGTGTTTTATTTATTTATGTATTTACATTTTTTTATTTCAGTTAATGTTTTTTATTTCAAGTAACTTTGTTTTTATGGTTTCAGTTTTAGTTTTAGTTAACTAAAACGAGACCTTAGCACATATTCATATGAAAATCTTCATACAAGGAAGAGGAAGTTTGAATTACCTTTAGGTTTTGAATTTTACCGGGCAGTGAGGAATGCAAACCGACATGCTGAAACAGGGAGGGTTTGTAAGCTCTCTTCAGTCGGGCCTTCTCATTATTGCAGTGTTTCTAAGTGCAATGAATTATAACAATAAACAATGAAATGTCTTACACCAATCTCACAAACAAATAAATAACAAAGTAAATATTATATTCAAACTTACTAAATCTTTCTCTGGGTTACACACTTTAACCCACAGGATGTGATCGAGCAGCCAATCGATTGGCTTGTCTTTGTGAAACATCAGGAAGAACTCCACAATCATTGGCAGATCTGATGTGCGGAAAAGCTTGCCTAGAATATGAAAAATGAGCGATATACTCAATTTCATGCTAGGACACAAATAGATTTGGTCATAGTAAACAGTATCTATGGGAGCTGTGAGACACTGACAATGTTCATTGAAATCTGATGCTACTCTGAGAAAACCTGGTTGATTCTTTGAATAATCAAGAGGATCTGAACTGAATTATTTTAAAGGCAAATATGTAAATAAGCAAATGCTAGCAGAAGCTGTGTTTTTTTAACAAAGAGGGCTCATATTTCCTTCCTTTTCATTTCTGACCCTCTTGACACTGACTAATAAAAGATATCTCATCGCTACTGTAAAAATAAAGACCATAAAATTGCATTCACAACTGAGACTGCACGACTAACAATGAACAACTGGTCCAGGTGTACAAATAGCAAAACAGCAGACAAATGAAAGAACTGACCAAACAGAAATGGTGGGAGAGAAGAGAATGAGAGAGGTTAGAAAAAGACAGGACATCAATGAACGGAGAGGACAAGACACTGACCAATGAATCCCAGCTGGGAAAACTCCAGGAAAAGCCACTCCTCGGAAAGCACCTGCTCTATATATTTTTTCATGGACTGAAAGAATCCTTGCTTTGCTACAATATCATCCTCAAGCTGAAACACATATGCACAGACTCAGATTGATAAAGGCAATGAAACATAGAGCTAACATTGAGTTGTATGACAGTGTCTTTGGCATTACCTGGACGTAGTATGTGCCCTTAGACTGCGCATACAGCATGAGGAAACTGTAGTCAAGGTTCTGCTTGGTCCTCCATCTATGATCAGTAAAACATGCTTCACAATTAAGACACCGTCTATTTCAAGTTACATTTGCACAAGAGGTGAATCTCTAACCTGACTCGCTCCTTGGGGTCTCCAAACGTTTCCTTCAGGATACTAAAGTCTGGGTAATAGTGAGGAGATGGAGAGATCACCTCTATCACTCCGGATCTGACAGCATCTGGGAGACTACACAGAGTCAAATACACAGTTACTTGCACAGCGAGTTTAAAGATCTCTCATGAAGCAGACGAGTAAATAATGAAACACTCACTTGGTCTGTACAGTCTGGACAACAGCATTCACAAATGTTGCATTTGTCTAAGAGAAGAATGAAAATACTTATCAATGAAAATAACAAAGAACACTATCGTTCAAAAGTTTGGGATCATTAAGATTTTTTGGTAACACTTTATTTTAAGGTGTCCTTGTTACACATGTTACATGTACTTACTATTATAATTACTATTAATTATGCATAATTACATGGAAGTAACCCTAAGCCAAAACCTAATCCTAACCCTAACCATGTAGTTAATTAATATTACTCAGTACTTAAATGTATAATTACACTGTAACAAGGACACCTTAAAATAAAGTGTAACCTATTTTCTTTAAAGAAATTAATACTTTTATTAAGCACGGATGCATTAAATTGAATACAAGTGACAGTGAATACATTTAAAAGTTACAAAAGATTTCTATTTCAAACAATTGATGTACTTTCTATTCATCAAAAAATGAATTACAATTTCCACAAAAATATTAAGCATCGAATTTTTTTTTTAATATGCAACAAATCAGCATCTTTGAGTGATATCTGATGGATCATATGACAATGAAGACTGGAGTAATGGCTGCTGAAAATTCAGCTTTGCATATTACATATTAACAAATCGTACTGATTCCAAACTTTTCATCGGTAGTGTACTGTATATTGTAAATAACTTTTGGGTACATTGATTGAAATAAAGTTAAAATCAGGAATAAAGACGAATCTGCACACCTTCAGGCCAAAAGTTCAAGATCAGTAGAACATTTATGCATGTTGTGACACATTTTTGTTACAACTAATTGTATTAAATGAGCCCACAGATTCGCATTAGTTCAGATCAGCCAGAGAAAAGATGCCTACATGACTTTTTTGTAAACAAAAATCTGTGAAAGCATTAGGAAGCAGGAACTTTTCTGTGTGTACAACACCATCAAAATCCCTGGTTAAAAATCAGACTTATCTCATAAAACTTAGTTCAGATCAGCCAGAGAAAAGATGCCTACATGACTTTTTTGTAAACAAAAATCTGTGAAAGCATTAGGAAGTAGGAACTTTTCTGTGTGTACAACACCATCAAAATCCCTGGTTAAAAATCAGACTTATCTCATAAAATCAAATGGCTTGACAGGAAAGAATTAAGGAATGAACTGATATAGAACCATAAAGTTTGATGCAACCTTACAAGAGCAATAAAACAGATAAAGCCAGGAGAGACATATGAGAACAAAGAGCACAAGTAAATGGTTACCTCGGCAACAAAGACTACAATGACAATATCTTTCCTCTCGGCAGTTGAAAGGTCATATAGGAGTGACTGGAGTGTGTTCACTAGATAACTCTGTTTCTGCCTGTGCACGGTTGGTACTCCTAACACCAGAGACACTGCGTAAACAGTTAAAACTGTGTGTCAGCTTGTCTTCCTATGGTGACTGCATTACTGTGGTTGTGTGTAAAAGTGTATAAAACTGACAAAGTAAAAGAAACATTATGATAGCATATGTTCAATAATTAAATAAAACATCATAATACAATATATCATGTTAGATTTGCTGGAAAAAGAAGAGGGTTTTTAAGGGTTAATTAGGCTTTCAAATAAAATGCTGCAGCTGTGATGCTTTGCTGCTTTCATGACACTCAGCAGGTGTATAAACAATATTTGCAGTGTAACAGCAGCTATAGCTGATTTAAGAGACACACGAAAGCAAAGAGCAAAATTCAGTATGCAAAGAGGTATAGAAAAGAAGGCCAATCAGAATTAAGTATGTAAATATTACAATGATATCATTGCTTGTGGTTACATTTTGTGGATTGGAGATTTAGGTCTTAGTTTCTTATGCAAAAGATACACTTGTTTTTTTTCCCCTTAATAGAAGTTTAACACAGTAAGACATCAATATTACTTATGACAAGTATGTTTAAATCAAATTCAATTGCTACATTGCAAGCACTGTAACAATACAATCACAAAAAATGATAATGGGAGACAGACCTCCAGTGCGTCGCTGCCCCAGATGAACGATGGGTTTCAGACTGCCCTCATGCTCCTTCAGGTGAGGCAAGTAGATGTGTGCATTAGGCTGCGAAGGCAACAAGCGCCGAAGGACCCTCTCTTCTAATAAAGCTAAAATGGCAGATAAAATACTGAATAACTGAACAGACACGAATATTACAGCAAGAAATGTGCTTGGACTCACCTGAGGAGTTACTGATTGTGAGATTCGATGGAGCAATGCTGCGGTTTTGAAGTTGACCAAGCACTTTAAGCAGCTCTTGTGATAAGACCTCCCCTCGTTGTTCTGCCCGCAGTAACCTCTCATAGACCAAATGCAGCTGCGATGGCAAGTTATCTGATACACAGAGTGCCAGTCATCACTTGATGTGAATTAAAGGGATATTTCAGGGCTGAAAACAAGTTAAGTTAAGCCTTGCAACAGCATTTGTGGCATAATGTTGATCACCACATAAATTAATTACTTCTAAAAAATAATTTGTTTGAAAAAAGGGGAAATCGTGGTTCCTAGAGGAACTTAAAATGGAAATGTGCATATGGTGCAATTTATATCAATCATCATGTTTAATTGCTGCCTACAGAAACTCAAAGCTGCTTTGCCGTGATGCATTTTGTTTTTGTTAGGCATATGATTTCATCTAATTCCTACACTGAAGCGCAGGGTTTTTCAACCATGTTACCTTTATAATACAATATAATATAAGCTAATATGTGACCCTTGAGCACAATACCAGTCATAAGTAGTACGGGTATATTTGTAGCAATAGCCAACAATACATTGTATGGGTCAAAATTATCGATTTTTCTTTTATGCCAAAATCATTAGAATATTAAGTAAAGATCATGTTCCATGAATATATTTAGTAAATGTTCTACCGTAAACAAAACCTAATTTCTGATTAGTAATATGCATTGCTAAGAACTTCATTTGGAAATATTTAAATGCAATTTTCTCAATATTTAGATTTTTTTTGCACCATCAAATTCAAGATTTTCAAATAGTTGTATCTCGGCCAAATATGGCCCTATCCTAAAAAATCATGCATCAATGGAAAGCTTATTTATTCAGTTTTCATGTGACGTATAAATCTCACTTTCAAAAAGCTGGCCCTTATGACTGGTTTTGTGGTCCAGGGTCACATAAAATTTCACTTGAGATGTCACATTGCAATTTATCAACATTTTATTGTTTTATTAAAACATTATTGCTCTAACAGATTGTTAACAATATTTAAAAACCAGAAATCACCTTTTTAAAATGTTCGTTCATCTTTTGTAGTATTTACTGACTTACTGACATGAAAAAACAAACAAATATGTGACCCTAGACCACAAAACCAGTCATAAGGGTCTTTTTTTTTTTTTAAATGGAGCTTTATACATTCTGAAAATATTCTGAAAGCTGAATAAATAAGCTTTCCATTGATGTATGGTTTGTTAGAATAGGACAATATTTGGCCGAGATACAACTATTTGAAAATCTGGAATCTGAGGGTGCAGAAAAATCTAAATATTGAGAAAATCGCCTTTAAAGTCCTTAGCAATGCATATTACTTATCAAAAATGTAGTTTTGATATAATTACGGTAGGAAATGTACAAAATATCTTTTGTTCGGCGTACAGGAAGCTGACATTGCACGTCTGACAGGTTGACAACTGATTGAGGACTAACTAAAGAAATAACTAAACATGTCATGTCATAGAATCTCTCAAAAATTCATCTCTCAACAACTCCTTCAAGTCCAAAATGTCAGTACATAAATTGTCAAACAATAAAACCAAGAAAACTGTTCATAAATGCAAATTCCGAATAATCAATTCGAATATTTCATTGCCATCCTACCTGGCTGATCACGCTCACCTGACTTTGATGTGTGCCATGAGGTTAACATCAACACACATACAAAACCCGCGAAGAAGAACAGTTTGCCATGCCAGGACCTCATCTCATCTCAGTCCACAGAAATACCAGAATACTTGGCTACTATTGAGAAGGCAAAATCCTCAAGATATAACAAGTAAGAAAGGTTAGTTGCTGCTTCTTCCCCGCGACGTCTGGATGAACTGGAAAAATGTCACAATTTGACGAAAATCCTTGTGAAATGCATCCTACTTTCTGAGATCAGGCCAGCTACACGAATAGTCACGAATCGTGTTGTCAGCTGATGCCACACGAGGAACTTCGCTGTAATCCGCTCACACCTCCAAACCGCAGCAGTTCCGTCCTCCACCTGTCCAGCTCATGAATGTTCATCCATCCACGACGACGCGGCTGACATTAGTATTCATTTTCACACATTGCGTTTAAACGTCTGTCAGATTATCTATTTGTTTCAGATTTTGATATAACATTATTATGTGTAGGCTATCTGCTTCAATGTAGGCTAAAGTAGTTTAGAACTATCCCGTGAACTGTAAATTAATGTCGAGCGCTATTAGGCCTACCTAAATAAAAACACATGAACATTTTACATTACGATAAAACGTTATAATTTTTTCAAGTAATAACAAGACAAGAGAACCTTCTAATTCAGTTCTCTTATTTTATAGTGTAATCATGGAAATATAGTACTGGTCACAGTCAGACATTGGTTTGGTTTAAGCTGGTTTATCAGTTTCGCGGAACTGTTCTTCAGGTGTTCTTCATCTGTAAATGTTAATTTAATGGTGACTGTTTGGTTATACATAAGAATGATCTGGAGCTTTCTGACTCGGTGAAGGATTGTATGTGGGAAAAGTGACACCTAGGGGTGCAATCCCTAACAACACTGAAAACGTGAACCTCTTACTAGTTTTGCCTTAGTAGTTTTGGTAGTTTTCTTACTAGTTTTGCATTAGTCATGCATTATGGATGGAGGTATAAAGATCCCTCTTTATATTTGTTTTAGTATTGATAAAAGCATAACAGCTTTATTTCTTTCTTAATTACTTTAATTCCATTTTAAACATCTGTTGATCCAAATTATGCATTTGACTTGTCATGTGAAATAGATAGGTAAGCCTATTCAAAAGAGAATATATAAATGATCAGAAGCTTTTTTGTTATGGTTATTTAACTAAGGTGTGGGTGAATCAATTAATTGTAACATAGGTATAAAGTTGTGTAAGTGTTGAATGTGAGTATCATTTTTGTCTCTCTTTTTGATATTAGTGTTCATTAGTTATTGTTCCAATTTGACTTCTGCTCAGGCGAGCTGTCCTTAGCCACATGACATGGTTCTGCAATGAGAATAAGAAGGAAATAAAAAAATTTAATTAGAAATTAAAAATACCTTCATGTAACTAAATATTTTGGAGGTGTATTTCCTGATTTTTGCAGCTACAATTAAATTATATTGATGCTCACATAATATTTAAAGAGATTCTGTAGAATACTGATCATCACATGATGTTAATATAATTAAAGTCCATCAGACCTATAGGATTTAATCCATATATTTAGTTTTTTCTCAGACTGGGTTCTCTGACCTGGTGCTCCATCATAGGAGTACTGGGGTTCTCTTTTGATTCCAAGACACTCAGCTTGCTTCCAGTACATGTCCATGTCAGACTTTGTTGGGTTGATCTCTCTCTCTCTGCAGGGTCAAATGAGAAAAAAATGTGCTATTATTATTATGTTTTTTTTTTTACAGTCTGCCCATGGCAAGCGTGACTCACTGAAGAGGTAGAGTGCATTTTGGTCATATTGTTGAATCGGTTGCTTATGTGCATGGTGAGGCAGTCCAACGCATATAACACACAGGAGGATGAATAACAGATTTATTTATTCAATTTTTTCCACACATTGTTCTTTTTGTCATGGTGGTCCTTACAAATTTTATTGCAGAAAAGGTAACGGCATGTAGGCTATTATTGATCTGATTTGTCCAAACTTGGCCTCTGGTCAGATGAGCTGCCCTTGACCACATCACAGAGTTCTGTGATGAGAGAAGAAAAAGGCTATAATAATGCAGCTATGGTTTCACAGCAAAAAGTTAGTTTAAACTGCAATTTACAAAAAAATAAAAAAAATAAATAAAAATCCAACATACCCTTTCTGTTGAATTATATAGGTCATGCTTCTACTAAAATCTGTTTTGTACATGTATGTAAAATATACTGGCAACCACTGTAGGCTAATAACACGTGGTAAAGAGAAAAACTCACGATAAAAATCAAAGTTCATCACAAATAACCTCCACAAACTGATATTATAGCACTTGCATATCATTGCTCTTTTGTTGATTTTGATTGCTTCCATTGTCCTCAATTGTAAGTCACTTTGGATAAAAGCGTCTGCTAAATGTCTAAATCTAAATTTAAAGCTGCAGTCCGTAACTTTTTTTGGTTAAATGATCCAAAATCAATACTTGAGCAAGTACATAACCAGCCAGTGTTCAAAACTATCGCCTTACTTTAGCCCGATTCATATTTTAAAGACAACTGGGGAAGGGAGCATACTTTTCTTTTTGGGTTAAAATAATTTCTTAATATGATATTCGAATGGTATGACAATTAGAGATTAGACTGTACAGAAATTGAAATCTACACGCTGGTTGAAGTTTGTGAGGATCAGTGGTGTTTATGTACATATGGCCATCAGACGCAACACTGACACTATTGCATGTTCTGACAGAGGAACGTATTCACTGATGGCGTCGTCGATCCGCCTTCAGATCGCTTCAGTTGCCACACATTCATAATGGTTTCATTTTTCATTTGTAAATTGGTGTTTAGTTATTATGAATTGATCCATAGCAGTTTATATGCAGTCCTTTGGCATCTCCCTGTGGTCTTGTTGGGTATTGCCGGTTGACTTAGTGCTTATTTGTTAAAATTAGCCTACTGTATAATTAAGCTTTAAGTAGCCTAATTTTAAGTTGTATAGAATATCTGCAGTGACATTTTTGCAAAGTATGTTTGCAAAAAAGAACACAGAATGTTTGAATCTCTTGAATTTGTTTTGTTTAAAAATAATTACAGGTAATTGAAAAGTAATAACACTAGAATACAAAGGTTTTTAGTGAATAGAAAACTGGGCTGGCTGTATTGATTTGGAGAGGAGGGGGTCTTGGAGTAAAAAAGGTTGAGAACCACTGCTTTAAGTAAATGCAGGCCCAGTTCTACGGAATTAGGCTACTAAGAATTGGACATTATTATTATATTTTAAAATTAATAATTAAAGGGGTGGTTCACTGTTTTTTTTTCTAGGCTTGATTGTGTTTTTTGGGGTGCAGTCTAACATGTGTTAATGCTTCGTTTGAAAAAAAAACCGGATTATTTTTCACATAATTGACCTTTATTCCACACCGCTCTGCCCCTTCTCTGAGAAACGAGCTGATTATTTCCTGCTTTTATGAAGCCCCGCCCTCAGAAATAGACGATGGGCTCTGATTGGTTAGCTAGCCCAGTGTGTTGTGATTGGCTAAACCGCCTCTAGTGCCCGTCTAAACATCCCGCCCCTCACCTCAGCGGCATGTGCTCTGGTTGTATTGTAAACAACGGTGTCGTTAATATCCCTTATCAGTTTGAGCCAGATTGAGAAGCAGAGGATATTATTGAAGAGGATCATGCAGAACCTGTGCAAGGATTGCTTTTAATGGTATAACATTTCCGTCACACGCTTGAGGTATTCGGCCAATCACAACGCACTGGATAGCTGGCCAATCAGCGTACACCTCGCTTTTCAGAATGATGAGCTTTGTAAAAATCGACGCGTTTCAGAAAGGCGAGGCATAGAAGAGAAACAATACTGTACAGTATGTGGATAATAATGTGTTTTTTTATTCTTAAACCGCATAAACACATTTCATTACACCAAATACACAAAATAATGTTCTTTTTTAGCAACGTCATATAACCCCTTTAAAAGACGATATCTCCGTTTGCATTGAACTTTCAGCTTCGTTTGCATGCAGATATTGTTTATGCTGAACAACATTACACACTAACTAACGTTAAAAAAGTGAAATTGCAATCAACCACCCCTTTAAATTAATGCAATATAAAGATACATCCCAACAAGCTTTTTTATGTATTTATTTTAAATGTATTTTATTATTTATTTTTCACTTGTTAGATCTCGGTAAGTCTCTCATTTGAGACCCTGGACCACAAAACCAGTCATAAGGGTCAAATTTTTTAAATTAAGATTTATTCATCATCTGAAAGCTGAATAAATAAGTTTTCCATTGATGTATGGTTTGTTAGGATAG